CACCGCAATGACAACGCTTGCGTGTGAGTTTGTCTGCTTTACTAAAGTGCTGGAGGGCTACTCTGTAATGCGATGCGAAAGAGAAATGCAATGCTATTTCGTAATGGTCTGATTATGGCAACTTAACGTAACTTACGGCTCTCACTTAAAAATTCTGTTAAATGGATGTTGCTTATATTGAACAGCCGAAACTTAACGCAACTTAACGTAACTTAATGCCACGTCGAAATCTGTTTCGTTTTGATTCTCTAAGTTCTACGTTCCGTTAAGTTAAGTTAAGTTGCAATCCTCATGCTTTAAGTAATACGCTGTGGCGATTACCTATCGCATCGCATTACACTCATACTATATGTAATTAAAACAAAAAAAAAGTTTTTTTTTTAATAGCACGGCGTAGTGTAAAATGATTTGTTATCGCTCGTGTCGTGAAGTGTCATTAAGCCATTGAAAATGGAAATTGCATTTATCAAACGCTGTAAGTTACAAGCATAAACTTATTAAATATTTGCTTCATAAACAATTTGCAATTTATTTGTATGTATACTGTATTCTTAAACCTCAATAACTTCCACAAGCCTATTGCTGGCGTTTAATGAGCTAAAGTATCTGTTTTTCTGCTAAACACGCAATGAAAAGTATGTTGAATGAAATCAGTCTAAGGTTGGCTAGAATTTTTAAATTGGTTCGGTCTAAGTATTGATAATATTTTCTTCTTCTTCTTCTTATTTGGCGCTGTAACCGACTAAGCAATTTTGGCCGAGTTCACCAAAGCACGCCAGTCGTTTCTCTTCTGTGCCAATTGACGCCAATTGGAAATTCCAAGTGAAGCCAAGTCCTTCTCCACTCGGTCTTTCAAACGCAGAGGGGGCCTCCCTTCATCTGCTATCACCAGCAGGTTCCAAGTTGAATAATTTCAGAGCTGGAGTCCCGGGGTACATTCGAACGCCATGGCCAAGCCGCTTAATTTTAATACGCTGCACTATGTCTATATCGTTATAAAGCAGGAAGCAGGAAAAGGCAGAACAGACTTCGCGGTTTTTGTTACCGATGATGTCGATGTCATCGGCGTACGCCAGCAATTGCACGCTCTTGTAAAAAATGGTTTTTGAGCGGTTCAGTTCTGCAGCTATTTTTATCTTCTCCAACATCAGATTAAAGAAGTCACATGAAAGGGAGTCGCCCTGTCAGAAACCCCGTTGGCGGAGTTGGTGGTATTGCTCAACGTCATTTTACAAAGCCGTATCAGTTACGCGTGGATGCCAAATTCCGACATCGCGGAACAGAAAACTCCTTTTGTTGCCATGGAAAGCGGTTTTGAAGTCTACAAATAGGTGATGAGTGTCGATCCTTTTCTCGCGGGTCTTTTTCAAGATTTGGCATATTGTGTATACCTGATAAGGCCCAATCAGTTCGTTGCTGCTACAAGAAAGTGGTCCGAGTCGATGTATCGGCCTCGGAGTGTACGTATGTCTAAAACAAT